CTCTTTTTCTTCTTTCTTTTCTCTCCAAATTTCTCCCCTTTCTCTTTCCTTCTTCTTTCTCTCTCTCTTTTCTTCTCTTTGTTTCTCTTCTCTCTTCCTCTCCTCTTCTCTCTCCTTCTTCTCTTACTCTCTTCTCTCTTCTCTCTCTCTCTCTCTCTCTCTCTTCTCTCTCTCTCTCTCCTCTCTCTTCTCTCTATGTCCTTCCTCCCTTCTCTCTCTCTCGTATGTACAATGTCTGCTCTCTCTATGTCTGTGTGTCCTTCCTCTCTCTCTCTCTCTCTCTCTCTCTCTCTCTCTCTCTCTCTCTCTCTCTCTCTCTCTCTCTCTCTCTCTCTCTCTCTCTCTCTCTCTCTCTCTCTATCTATCTATCTATCTATCTATCTGTCTATCTATATGTTTATCTATCTATCTGTCTATCTATCTGGCTATCTATCTATCTATCTATCTAGAGAGAGAGAGAAAGGGAAAGAGAAGGAGAGAGAAAGAGAATGAGATGGAAAGGAAGACAGAAAAGAAAAGAGAGAGAAAGAGAAAATAAGAAAGATCGACAGACAGAGACAGAGAAAGAAAGAGATAGAAAGAAAAGGAGAGAGAATGAACAATGTCTGCTCTGAAATTAAAGCTTCTTACTGCATGTATTTTCATCCTACTATTTAACAGTAATTCCTAGTAGAACATTTTTCTGCTTAACGAACTGGGTCATGAGTCACCATCGTGCACCAACGATATTCACAAAATAATGATGATAAAAATGATGATAATGATAGTAATAATAATAATGATAATAATAATGATAATAATAATAAAAATAATAATGATAGTAATAGCAAAACAATAATGATGATGATGATAATAATAACATCAATAATAACAATAATAGTAATGATAATAATTAATAATAATAATAATGATAATAAAAATAATAATGATAATGATAATGATAATAGTAATGACAAAGTAATAATCATAATAATGATAATTATAATAATGATGATAATAATAATCATAATAATGACAATAATAGTGGTGATATTAATCATCATCATCACAATCTTAATAGTAATATCAACGATAATAAGTATCATAAGAATATCAATAATAACAACATTAATGATAATGATAATGGTAAAAATAATGATGATAATAATGTTAAGATTGATACGCAGTTAGTTAAAAAAAATTATCATTAAAAAATTTACGTCACAAACAACCGTTATACATAATTAACCTCACCTGTTAATGAAATGCGGGAAAATTGAAAGAAAAAAACGTGAGAAAGAAAGATGGAAAAACAAATAAATAAGAAAAGCAAGTAATAAAACGAAAACAAGAAAAACTGAAAAGAAGAAGAAGAAGACGAGAGAAGAAAGAAAAAAAATGAGAAAGAAAGAGTGGCCAAGAAGAAGAGATAACAAAAAAGGAAACAAAATAAAACAAGAAAACAAGATGTAAAAAAGAAAATAAAAATTAGAGAAAAGAGAAAGAGAGAGAGAAAGAAAGAATCTTAAAAATGATGACATAAAAAGAAAACAAGAAAAGAAAAAAGAAAAAAAAAACAACATGGAGGGAAAGAGAGAGAGAGAGACAGAAAGAATTTTAAAAATGCTGACTCACTCGCGCCAAGACGACCAAAAAAAAGCACTTCTGCAAACAAAGCAAGCTGCATGTATAAGCATCTTATCCTTTTGAAGACTAAACACCATGGAAGAGGATTATCTGCGCTGCCTTCATGAATAGTGATAAGGATGGTGATCATGGTGAAGGTGGAGGTGGAGATAATGATGGTGATAGTGGTGATGGTGATAGTGGTGGTGGTGATGGTGATCGTGGTGATGATGGTGGTGATGATGGTGATAGTGGTGGTGTGATGATGGTGATAGTAATGGTGGTGATGATGGTGATAGTGGTGATGATGGTGATAGTGATGGTGGTGGTGATGATGGTGATAGTTAGGATGGTGGTGTTGGTGATGATGATAATAATGATAATAATGATGATGATACCATAATGACATTCTTATTATTCTTAGCAGCATAATCATCATCATTATTAGATTTTTAATATTATTGTGTTACTACAGGCACATGCTGGATGCCTTTACTTTTGTGAGTGTGTGAGGGAATGCCTCTGTTTATGAGTCCGTGATGGAATGCGCCTGTGTCCGTGTGTGTGAGGGAATGCCTTTGTTTATGTATGCGTGTGAGGAATGCCTCTGTTTATGAGTCCGTGATGGAATGCGTCTGTGTTCGTTGTGTGAGGGAATGCCTCTGTTTATGAGTCCGTGATGGAATGCGTCTGTGTTCGTGTGTGTGAGGGAATGCCTTTGTTTATGTATGCGTGTGAGGGAATGCCTCTGTTTATGAGTCCGTGATGGAATGCGTCTGTGTTCGTGTGTTGAGGGAATGCCTCTGTTTATGAGACCGTGATGGAATGCGTCTGTGTTCGTGTGTGTGAGGGAATGCCTCCGTTTATGAGTCAGTGATGGAATGCGTCTGTGAGGGAATGCCTTTTGTTTATGTATGCGTGTGAGGGAATGCCTCTGTTTATGAGTCAGTGATGGAATGCGTCTGTGAGGGAATGCCTTTGTTTATGTATGCGTGTGAGGGAATGCCTCCCTTTATGAGTCAGTGATGGAATGCGTCTGTGTTCGTGTCTGTGAGGGAATGCGCCTGTGCTTTGTGCTCGTGTATGAGGGAATGCCTCTGTCAGCGCGTGTGTGAGAGAATGCCAATTTGCACGTGCCTATGGGCAGAGAAGGAGAACGTGCCTCTGAAATCCATCTCATTTTCCCTTCATTTGCCCTTCCCACAGGAACGACATGGGCTGCGTGCAAAGGCTCCACCAAGATCGAGTGCCGGACGAAGGGCCAGTGCATCAGAATGGAACACGTCTGTAACGGAGGACGAGACTGTACCGACAACTCCGACGAGGATCCCGACCTGTGCAAGGTGAGGAGAGAGGGGAGGTGGGGGTCTGTGAGGTGAGGAGAGCGGGGTGAGGAACGGTTGGGGGTCTGTGAGGTGAGGAGAACAAGGCAAGGAACGGTTGGGGGTCTGTGAGGTGAGGACGAGTTGAGGAATGGTTGGGGGTCTGTGAGGTGAGGAGAGCGGGGTGAGGAACGTTTTAGGGGTCTGTGAGGTGAGGAGAACAAGGCAAGGAACGGTTGGGGGTCTGTGGGGTGAGGAGAACGAGGTGAGGAACGTTTGGGGGTCTGTGAGGTGAGGAGAACGAGGTGAAGAACGTTTGGGGGCCTGTGAGGTGAGGAGAGCGAGGTGAAGAACGTTTGGGGGTCTGTGAGGTGAGGAGAACAAGGCAAGGAACGTTTAGGGGTCTGTGAGGTGAGGAGAACGAGGTGAAGAACGTTTGGGGGTTTGGGGTGAGTGAGAACGAGGTGAAGAACGTTTGGGGCGTCTGTGGGTGAGGAAACGAGGTGAAGACCGTTTGGGGGCCTGTGAGGTGAGGAGAGCGAGGTGAAGAACCTTTGGGGGTCTGTGGTGAGGAGAACAAGGCAGGAACGTTTAGGGGTCTGTGAGGTGAGGAGAGCGAGGTGAAGAACGTTTGGGGGTCTGTGGGGTGAGGAGAACGAGGTGAAGAACGTTTGGGGGTCTGTGGGGTGAGGAGAACGAGGTGAAGAACGTTTGGGGGTCTGTGGGGTGAGGAGAACGAGGTGAAGAACGTTTTGGGGTCTGTGAAGGTGAGGAGAAACGAGGTGGGAACGGTTGGGGGTCTGTGAGGTGAGGAGAACGAGGTGAAGAACGTTTGGGGGTCTGTGAGGCGAGGAGAACAAGGCAAGGAACGGTTGGGGGTCTGTGAGGAGAACGAGTGAAGAGAACGTATTGGGGGTCTGTGAGGTGAGGAGAACGAGGTAAGGAACGTTTGGGGGTCTGTGAGGTGAGGAGAACGAGGTAAGGAACGTTTGGGGGTCTGTGAGGTGAGGAGAACAGAGGCGTTTTAGGGGTATGTGAGGTGGAGGAACAAGGCAAGGACGGTTGGGGTCTGTGGGGTGAAGGAGAACGAGTGAGGACGAGTTGGGGCATGTGAGGTGAGGGCGACAAGGTGAGGAACGACATGGTTTTTGGGGGCATGTGAGGTGAGAGAGAACAAGGCCAAGGAAGGTTGGGTCTGTGGGGTGAGGAGAACGAGTGAGGAACGTTGGGGCATGAAAGGTGAGGAATTTGGGAAATTGAGGTTGAGGAAGAACAAGGCAAGGAACGATTGGGGAGGAAAAGTGTGAGGTGAGGAACGGTTGGGGTCTGTGGGTGAGGAAGAACGAGGTGAGGAACGTTTGGGGGCATGTGAGGTGAGGAGAAACGAGGTAGGAAACGTTTGGGGCATGTGAGTGAGGAGAACGAGAAGGAACGAGAGGGAGGAGAAAGGTGGGGACGTTTGGGGGTCTGTGAGGTGAGGAGAACGAGGTGAAAAGTTTGGGGGTCTGTGAGGTGAGGAGAAACGAGGTTAAGGAACGTTGGGGGTGTGAGGGAGGAGAAACGAGGTGAGGAACGTTTGGGGGTCTGTGAGGTGAGGAGAACGAAAGGTAAGGACGTTTGGGGGTCAATGTGAGGTGAGGAAACGAGGTGAGGAACGTTTGGGGGCTGAGTGAGGTGAGAGAGAACGAGGGTAAGGAACGTTTGGGGGTCTGTGAGGTGAGGAGAACGAGGTGAGGAACGTTTGAGGGCATGAGTGAGGTGAGGAGACGAGGTAAGGAACGTTTGGGGGATCTGTGAGGTGAGGAGAACGAGGTGAGGAACGTTTGGGGGGTCTTTGTGAGTGAGGAGAACGAGGTAAGGGCCGTTTGAGGTCTGCGGGTGAGGTGTGATGAGATGAGAAGCGTGGAATAAGTGAGTTGGGGAGTCTATAAAAAAAAAAAAAAAAAAAAAAAAAAAAATATAATATATATATATATTATATATATATATATATATATATATATATAATATATATATATATATATATATATAAGGACCTGTAATACCTGTATAAACATTAAAACCCGTGACGGTGTTGCGGATCCAAAACTCGGTAAAGTTGACGGTCTGTGTAAAAGAAGAACTGTTATACGTGTACTTATAGTAAGATCTATACATAGAAAGTGTGTCTACAGATACGTATATTTGCTTAGGGAGTTTACGAACAGAAATATAAACTTTCAATCGCATTCGATCTAGTTAATTTCATCAGCCAGATGTGTAAAAGTAATAATATTAATCGTAGAATTAATTTCATTATTCTTGTTGCAGATATGGAAATTCAAAACGGATTCCTGCTCTAACTCACGAGTGTCTTGCAAAGGAAGTTGCTACAGTTTCTCGCGTTTCTGCAACAGAAAGGAGTGTTCTTCCAAGATGCATCCGAGAGTTTGCCAGGTATGTTATTTTTTTTAGCAGTTTAGAATAGTAGTAATGACAACAATGATGGTGAGGACAGATTACGTAACAATGATAATTTTGGTAATGACCGTATTTAGTATTGATCACCATCGCAATTGCCTTCATTATACTACTACAACTACTCCTTCTACTAATACTAATACTACTGCAACAACAACAACAACAACAACTACAACAATAACAACAACAACAACTACTACTACTACTACTACTACTACTACTACTACTACTAGTAGTAGTAGTACTACTACTACTACTACTGCTGGTGCTGCTGCTACTACTCCTTTTTCTAATTTTACTACTACTGCTACTTCTTCTTCTACTACTACTGCTACTTCTACTACTACTGCTGCCACTACTACTACTACTACTACTACTACTACTACTACTACTACTACTACTACTACTTACTACTACTACTACTATACTACTACTACTACTACTACTACAACTACTACTGCTACACTGCTACTATGCTACCACTACTACTACTGCTACTACTAACTACTGCTACTACTGCTACTACTACTACTACTACTACTACTACTGCTGCTGCTACTACTCCTAACAGTGAAAATAACAGCATATTGTCTAAATATCATTATAACACGAGCTTAAAAATAATATATTCGCATCACTGCCACCTATACTAAACCATAATCCCATAAAACTAACAATAAAGTTTAAAAAATAATAAAATAAAATTATCAAAGTCCCCATCATGAACAACAAATAAAGAAATAGATAAACGAGAGGGTAAAATATGTAAATAAAACAGTGAAACAAAAAATAATGATATTAACTGGAGAGGGGAAAAGGATATGGCAATACTCCTGAACGTGAACTGTACAGGAGCGATGCCAACGCGTTTTTTTTTCCATCTTCGTATCTTTACTCCCTTTTTTTTTGTATCTCTCTTCTTCTCTTTCTCTATCTTCGGATTTCTCTCCTCCCTCCTCCCTCCCCCCTCCTTCCCTCTCCCTCTCTCCCTCCCCTCTCCCTTTCCCTTCCCTCTCCCTCTCCCTTTCCCTTTCCTTTCCCTCTCCCTCTCCCTCTCCTCCCTCCCTCTCGTATGTGTGTGTGTGGTGTGTGTGTGTGTGTGTGTGTGTGTGTGTGTGCGTGTGTGTGTGTGTGTGTGTGTGTGTGTGTGTGTGTGTGTGTGTGTGTGTGTGTGTGTGTGTGTGTGTGTGTGCGTGTGTGTGTGTGTGTGTGTGTGTGTGTGTGTGTGTGTGTTGTGTGTGTGTGTGTGTGTGTGTGTGTGAGAGAGAGAGAGAGAGAGAGATAGAGACCACATTCTATGATCATCATACTAACAAACTATTCCATCCAATCACAATCTATGTTACTAAAACACAGACTTTCACCCCAACACAAAGAAAGAAAGGAAGAAAAGCACAAAGAAAAAAAAAACAACAACTCATAGTTAACATGACTAGGACATGTCTGCAACACGAATTTGACACGTCTCTCCCGTCTGTCAGTGTCAGTGCAGACGTGACTAATCCCTTTCTGCAGTCAATCGCGGGTTTGTTCTGAAGTACAGGAAGCGACTGATAAGAGTTATCTTCAGCTGGAGAAATGACATCATCACTAATGTTGTCATGAATGCGAGAATGTAAACAATTCTCTTAATAAACACTTATGTATTTGTTATGTGCGCCATAATTTTATATAAATAGATACATAGATGAATGTAAATAAATACACAGATATAAATGAGTGTAAATAGATGCATAGATATAAATAAATATGAATAGATACATAAATGAATATAGATATATACATAATTCTTTATGAATAGATACTTAAACGAATATGAATATTAACATAAATGAATAAATTAATAGACGAATAAAGAAGTGGATAGATAGATAAATGAATAGATAGATATATGAATAGATAATTAGCTAGATAGATAAATATATAGATAGATAAATAGATCGAAACATAATTAGATAAGAAGATAAGTAGATAGATAAATAGGCAAACAGATAAATAAATAGGTAGACAGATAGATAAATGAATAAACTCATAAATGAATAAATTGCTGAATCTGTTAATCTTTTGATATATTCAGTCATCTTTCTTCGTATATTTACATGTCATTTTATGT